GGGCGGGAAGCTAAAGTGCCCGAAGTACGAGGAGGTGTGCACCATCGCCGCCAACGGCAGCAGCCTCGTCATTCCGCGCGTTGAGGAGGAGGGCGACGCCGAGGGGAATCCGGAGGAAGACGCAGCGGAGCAGGAGGAAAAGAATGACGAGGAGGAGGCGGAGGAAGAGGTTCCGGCACTTGAGCCACAGCGTGCAGAGTTGTCTTCTGGAACTGCGGGCATCGATCTTTCGAATCCGAAGGCGGCGGCGGAGGTTGGGCCCGGCACATTGCCGGCTGCTGAGGCGCAGGGGCCCGCAAATGGGCCTGACGGTCCCGCCCGCTCCGCTGCTGCCTCGCCGCCCTCCGCTCCCGCCGCCCCCTCACCGGACGAGGCCGTTGCCGCAAAAGAAAGCGACGCGGCGGGAGCGGCGGGAGCAGCTGCTGCGGCCCCCGATTTGCCTGCGCCGCCCACCCCGACACCGGCGGCACCCGTCAACGGCAGCGCCGTGCAGAAGAAACTTGACGGGGCGGCGCAGCAACTCGGAGGCGACGCCGGTGCGGCTGCTGCGGCTGTTGGCTGCAGTCACTTTCTGCTGCTCGCCGTGGCCGCCGCGGCTGCAGTGGCGGTGTTGTCGCCTTGAGCCGCGGCAGGAACGGCGGCGGCTGGGCGCCAACAAATTGCGGCGGGGGAGTAATGAATATACACACACACACACACCTGTGTGCCCCCCGTGGAGCCCCGCACTCAGGCCGCAGTCAACCAGCAGTAATAATACGATGCACACACTCACTGCGCTACCCTTGTTTGCTTTTCGAAGGGTGGAAAATAACAATTATTGCTTTGCTTGCCAGTGGCCGCAAAGCCGATATCTGTGTGTTGGGCGGACTTGCTTTGCGTGGAAACTGTGTGGGGGCACAAAATAAAAAATGAGTGCGAAGAAGGCAAATCCCGGCATCACATAAATATACATGCACGGGTCTGGTGCTGGGGGCGGGAGAAGGGGAACTCAATGCACTCTGAAGGGTGCGAGGGTGTGTCGGTGACTGTTCCGCCGCGGAACAGGAGCGAATGCCTCTGCTGACGCATTCAATACACATGGGCTTTTTCGTTTTCTTTTTTTGCTACCTCTTTCTTTCTCTTTTTATCACTTCCTCGATTGGGCTGTGTGGGAACAGAGAGAGAGAGATGGAGGGTGTGCGTGTGCTGGTCGTCCCACGTGTTGCTGCGCGTCCCCACTGCTCGGTGGACGCGCCCCCACGCTTCGGATTCACTTCACGGGTTTGTTTATTTTGTTTTGTGTGTTTGTTGCTTGACTGCACCCATTGCGCGGGCTGCTGAAGTGTGATGTGTATGCGTGTAACACAACCTTCGGGCGTCCTATCTCTCCTTCTCTCTCTCTCGCTGAATGTGGCTGCGTGGACTCGTGTGTCTGTGCCTATTTTTTGTTTCTATCTCCCCCTCTCGTTCTCCTTTTGGCTGGTGGTGGGTGTTCAGCCGCAGCGCAAGCCAACGACAACTGCGAAGGAAGGAACTCATGTGAGCAATGCCTGGGAGACGCGAGGAAGGAGTTCGCGCTGCTGCGGGGGCGCTCTGCATGTGCTGCGCCGCAGGGCCGGCGTCGGTGGGGGTCGGGGCCCGCCGGCGGGACTCGACAGCCCGCAGCGCAGCGCGGAAGGGCGGAGGAGGCACCGCCGCGGCCACAGTGAGCCGTTGACCGCACGGTGGAGGGAGTGTGCGAGTTTGTGCTCAACGCGAAGTGGAGCCACGTCTTGGGGTTTCCTGCGGCTGAAGGGAGGGGGAAGTGGCGGTGCGGACGGCGGTGGAACGGGGCCACACTCACCAACGCAGTCGGGGGCGTGCACGGTGCAGGGGACAACTCCTCCACTGCGGGACAACGTGGAGCAGCTTCGTGCACCGCGTCCCAGCCTGACGGGACTCGCCTCCGCGGAGGGCTGGCCGTGCCCGCTGAGGGAGGGAGGGAAAATTGCCGGCTGCTGCGTTCACCCTGCGGTGGGGGCGGGTGTGGCGGATTGTCAAGGGCGGTTGGGGAGGGCCGCATCACACCAAAGGGCCAAAATTGTTTGAGGTGAGGCGGCGTGTCTTGATTGGGGCGCCCGGGGATGGGGGCTCGGTGGTGGACGAGTGCCGGCCCCTACCCCCTCCACCGGCCGCTGCACCGCGATGAATGCCCGCTCCACTTTGCTCTCTGCTGCCTCGGAGGCGAGTTGGCGGAAGTGTTCGGCACGGCCACGCAAACGGCGACAGGGCACGAGGGCGAGCTCGAGATCCGAAGTCGTGTGAGCGACTTGTCGTGGCGGGCAAGAGGGTGTGAGTTGTCTACGATGCGCCAGAGGAGCGAGCACCGCTGCCGTGGGTAAACTTACGGCCTTGTGGGTGGGGCATGATTGCGTGTTGGCGTCCGCAAAGGGAAATAACTCGAGAGCATTGGCGATGCGACTGCATCTCTGCCTCGCCCCACCATGCGCTGCCGCGACGAGGAGAAGGTGACTGCGAATTGTGCCCGGCGGACGCGCGCCACCAGCCCGCGCAGGAGCAAAAGAAGTAGTGGGAGGCGGTCGCGGGTCGCATGCAGCTTGTCGGCCCGCTGCCGCGTGGCATCTTCAGTGCGGCTGCGTTCAGTGGGCGCACTGCGGCGGGTGACGGCGCCCTGCAGGCGACCGACGCCCCGGTTGCCGAAGCCGACTCCTCTCGTGAAGGCGAGAAACTGTGGGGTGCGGGGAATCCGTTTCGGAGGGCTGAGAAGATTGAGCGGGAGTGTGGCGCACACGGTGTGGAGGCCGTGCGCTACACAAATGTGTGTTGCCTCTTTGTTCTTAGAATGGGGACACGTTTGTGTGGGGGTTCTGGGCCCCAGCGAGGGCCTCTCGCGGCTACGGCGTGCCGCTCGCCTTCCTGAAAAGCTCCAGAAGCCGCGTGCCCCGGACCCACACACGCACACACGCTGGGGGAGGAGGGCCTTCTGCGGGCACGGCAGAAAAAAGAGGGAGGGGCTCGCGGGGCTGCGGCCGCCAACGGGACGGCGTGCAAGGCGCTGCGTGTTGCGGGCGGGTCCGGCGTCGCGTGCCGGGGAGGGGCTTAGCGATGTGGGCGCCGCAGGAGCCTTCAGGCCGCGAGGGTGGACGGACGCAACATGCGGGGAGTTGCGCGGGAGCGGCGGGCGAAAACGCTCTGCTCTTGTGCGCCTCCTTTTTTTTTACTGTTTTTTTGAGTTCTCCGAGGGCGGGGGATGAATTTGTTTGGGCTGCGGTTGGCTGCGGCGGATGCGCAGCACAACACTACCGCCAGC